TAATCAAGCTAATCAAGATTAATACACTTGTTTGTTCACAGATTCTACGTTCAACCATTATTTTCAAGATCTCTCAGGTAAATTATACATTGTTGCTTCCATTGAGGCTATTAAAAACATGCAAAGTGATGGCCTATCCAATAACTTACACAACTTCACGGAAACGGAAATCTTTTCTAAAATAGAATCCCCTGTCACGGTTACATTTTACTGTTTAAGACAAAAACTGATTAACATGGAAAAGATACCTTTTATTTATCACGTGTTGTAAATGAGTCGCTCAGTGTTGCGCTATTGCATACTCATAAAATTGGGGGGGGGTAGCTTAAATATTTACAAGTCTGTCATGATTTACATGGATTACATGGTTTTTGTCAATTTTCAGTAGTGCTTCAAATTATCTTTCATATAGGCCGAGTTAAAAAAGAATTAATTGCTTCATAAGGCTTACGCTGTACATGAATAAAACATTAATCACATTTGGTAGCCAACATTCAAACCAAGAAATTGCATTTTCGGTCACACTTTAGTTTGGGGACCAATTCTCACTATTAACTATGGCTTTTGCCTCAATAAACTCTTAATTTGCTGCTTATTAATGTAGTTAAGTTTTTATATGGGGTCAGATTAAGGGATCTAAAAATAAAGTCATGCAGAATAAGGCATTAATATGTGCTTGCTTTTAATAAGCAACTAGTTAATTGTGAGAACTGGTCCCTACACTAAAGGGTTACTGCTTTGAGTATACAGATGTGCATAGTAAAGCACTATGTAAATGCCTCATTCGTTTAGAGCAGCTCCAGTGCAAGCAGCATAATGGCACGTTTAGGTACAACATAACCAGCGCTGAGAATGTCAGAAAGCTTCCCCGTCTCTTCCTAAATGATAATGAAGCTAGTGTTACCAGAGTTGATGTTGTAAAATGAGTAAACAGCCGAGATGCTGATCATACAGGAAAAAGTTATTGTATTCAAACAGCTGGACAGTGGAGATATTCAGACAGAGAGCGATCAAATGTAGGGCATTTTAAATGTAGAAACTTTTGACCGGACTCAAACAAACAAACATGGTGCATAAGTCCAATGCAAAACTGAATTGAATATTCAAATGAATCCTTCATTAAATGAACTTCCTGAATCCATCAGAGCGGTTAATGAATCATTATATGACTGACTTCTGAGCTGAAAGTTATCATTGCTTATAGCCTTGTCCATCTTGAAATGTTGGAATGTACATCTTGGAGCTTTATGAAACTTTAATCATTACTGGCTCATTGTTCATCTGAATGTAGTTTTAATGTTTTATTTAAATATATATCTTAAACTGCGTTGTCATATGAACAGTCAGTTAAGAATGATTAAAAGTTTGATTTATGTTTCACAAACCTTAAGTACACACAACTTAATTTCAAGACGGTCGCCGTTAAAAATAATGGGCAAGGGTGAACGGGAGACACAATTCTGTAGAGAACGCAGGAAGACAAACGTGACCTATACCTCAGGCTGGAAATAAAAGTGCTCGCTCACTTACTGGTTGTCAAGGAACGCCAGTGAAAATCTTAATTAGAAACTGCATTCCCACGTTAAAGTTCGGATGATTTAATAGCTTTTATTAAAATGCTTTTGCCTTAAGAATGAGGAACTGCTAATACGATCTCATAATGAAGGTACTCACATTTCCTCTCCTGTTCTGTTTCTGTCAAAAACATTTTTGCACTTCACAGATTCTTTGCAGAATGATTTAAACTCTTCGGATGAATGCTTCTGTTTTCAGAGCCACTGCAAACACATCCTGTTGCCCATATGGAGTCTGGCTATCTCTGGAGCTTGACAAAGATTACAGTAGCAATAACTCTGTGTTTGTGTGTGTTTTCACATGTGACAACTACAAGACAGAGTGTTGTGTGCAGCATTACATCTAGCCCATGTGATTTGTGTGCAGTGTGATGTCGCCGGGATGTGAAAGCACAATGGGCTGTCTGTTCACATGCTACAAGTGTGTGTGTGTGTGTGTGTGTGTGTGTGTGACTGTGTGTGTGACTGTGTGTGTGGAGTACACACTACTGTCTGATATTAGAACAGAAGCATGGAGGTGGAATACGTAAAGCAGGAACCTTCACTGTTGCATTTGATGTGTTTGCTATGGAAAGCATCAATATTGCTTTTGAGCAATCTAATCTCTAATCGCACATATTAAGGGGGCAGTTCACCCAAAAATGAAAGGTGTTACTCACCCTCATGTTGTTCCAATCCTGTAAGGCTTTTGTTCATCTTTAAAAAAAACAATTGAAGATATTTTTTATAAAATTTGATGCATCAAAAAGTTCATAAAAAAGATTGTAAAAGTTATGCAAATGAAGGTCTTCTGAAGAGACACAATGGCTTTATATGAGGAACAGATTTAATTTAGTGATGTATTTACATATTAAAATTAGTGCTGTCAAACGATTAATCGCATCCAAAATAGAAGTATTTGTTTACATAATATGGGTGTGTGCTGTGTATATTTAGTATGTATATATAAATACACACATGCATGTATATATTTAAGAAAAATATGTTATGTTTATTTATTAAATATATTTATATATGATAATTTATATGAATATAAATATATACATGTAAATACATGTAAAAATTTTCAAAATATGTATTGTATGTGTGTGCCTTTATATATACGTAATAAATAAACACAGTACACAGACATATACAGTGGTGTGAAAAAGTGTTGGCCACCTTCTTGATTTCTTCGTTTTTTGCATATTTGTCACACTTTAATGTTTCAGATCATCAAACCTAAAACTAAAAACTGGTTGGGCCACCCTTAGCAGCA